GAGAGCTTATATTCAAAGTTTCTGGTATCTCAGAAAAAACTTGTGATCTTGATAAGGAAAATGTCATTGATGCAAGCACTGCAGAGAGCTCTTGCTATGCTTTATTTTGTTTGTCAATCATTGATACAAATCTAGAAAGTATTGGTGATCAATACTTCCTGAACAGGTATGATGAATCTATTTGGTAATTTAGAGGTATACTCATTGCTGTTATGTAGTCCAAGAGATACTTTCCAAACTGATCAAGTCAAACAATTGTTCTTTTGAGCAACAAGAGGTATGTGGGTGTCTTTGTCTGCCACCAGTTGGATGAAAAGATCATTGGCAAAATCATGGCTATTCTCCTCAAAGTTAAGGTGATGCCAGCCAACTTGTGGACATGAGAAGGTGTCTGCTTGGTTCTAAGTGAAATCATGTGAGCCACTCTCAATTCAAGAGATAGACTGATTTTATTCATTGCCCAGGGAAAATTCCACCAATGCTCAATGAGAAGATCATGAAGATGATGTCATATCTATTGTTTGTGTGTCCTTGGTTGACAATCAGGCTAATGTTCAATCTGTGGAGGCTAAAGCATTTGATATGTTGCAAGAACATATGGGACTCAAGGCCATTAATGAAACTATCCCTATGCTTCTGGAAGCCCTCTGGCAGCCTGGAGAGTCCTGGAATGTCATTGCAAGCACTTAAGGAGGTCATGGATGTCAGCAGTCTCTATTTCTCATTGTATATCAATCTAACATTTGATTACAGGTATAAGTGATGACTGTGTTTCTGATCCTAATTCCAACATTGATGGCTATGCCTATGACCATGTTCAATGCTCACACTCTTACTTCACTGGTCACTGTTGTTGGAAATGTGCTGAGCAAGCAGCTGATGGTCATTACCAGTGCCTTTGTCAAAGTTATCAAAGACCAGAGGGATGAAGAGCTTTTTATCTTCAGTGGATGAGGCAACTCATGCATCATTCAGGTTGGTCAATGATATTGAAGAGTTGAACACTCTCATGATGGTGCTCTTGGGATGGTCAGTATATTATAGGTATATTATGTGTTAGTTCTAATGTTGTTCAGGTCAAAGCATGATACCCTGAGATAACAAAAATTCTTCTCCATCTTCTGTGAAGAGACTGAACTGGATACTTTGCTATATCATGTAGACTGAATCAGACAGCTTATCTCTGCTGTGGAAGATGATTACAAGGATGTTTATGCAAGTGCCATACAAACCATTGACATATTCCTCAGATCCATTCCCAAAGATAAACTTGAATCATTTGTGGTCCCCTTGTGGTGGAGTGTCAAGTCTACAGGTGCTCTGGGTCACTTTGTTCCTGGTTTTAGTGTCCCCAAAGCAGTTGGGCCTCTCATTCCAGCCATTATTGCTGGTCTGACTACCAGTAGCAATGAGCAGTGGGAACAAGCAGCATATGCTATTGGTCATCTCATGGATTATATGCAAGACACTGTGATCAAACCATTTGTGGTCTCTTTCACTGGCTTGCTGATTTGAGTGGCAATGCAAACAATGATGTACTGACAAGTGGTCAAGACAGCCATTCTGAGTGCACTGACATCAATGTTGGAACATATACCTGTGTTCATGAAACTGTTCCACCCTCAGCTGCAGAGGGTGTTTGTCAAGGGCATAAGTGACCTCACAAGTATTGTTGTTAGGAATAGAGCAGCCAAGGTGTTGGGTGTGTTGATGAAGAGCCAGCCCAGGGTGGATGCAGTCGTGATGGAGCTTATCGCAGGAGCAAAAAGCAACTTTGATGGCAGTGTTGGTAGCAGCGCAGTGGTGGCGGGTTTAAAGTACTATTCAGAAGATTATCGTCCTAGAGGTTGCATAGAGATACCGACAGGAAGGATCTTTTATAGTTCTTACACTCGACATTCGAATGAACCATGCGCACATGTAATTAGTGTCGGTATCTAGATATGTACAGCATCCATGTGGTGCTCTAAGCGTGTCTGTGATGTACGAAAGGACTTCAAATGGGTATCAATGGGATTATGCAACGAATAGTAGACGTGTCCAGATAGATGTTACAAGTGATGGATGAGACGCAGTCGTCATATTTCTAGCTAAGATTTGGCTGATAAAGGTATGGAAGCGTGAAAGCGAAATCATGGCACGACGACAAACCTTTAAATGTTTTTGTGCCATTGTAATACGAAGATGGTCGTCTTATATTTGACTTCATCTTCTTCCAAAGCCCGGTTCGGAACGGAGAAGCAGATATGTCCGGTTTGGCCTTGACGGACGACGACGACGGCATGCGAGCGATGAGACCACTTGGTGTCGGTATTTCTTTGACTGGCTGAATAGTCTTCGGTTCCGCGTCCCCATGAATAGACAACGGCCACGTGAAAAGATCAATCTCGGGAGACGTACTGGTGCTGGTACTTTCGAATTCCGATCCGGATGGTGAAGAAGATACGGAAGAGGGCACCAAGTCGGTTTCGAGTTCCGGTTCTTCTTCTACGGACACCGGCCGTTCTGGTTCGTTCCAGGATACCGCACTAGGGTGATCCGTGTTTTCGCTTCTTCTCCCGTTTTCTCGGTCCCACTCAGTCTCCATTTCGAATATCACATCGTCTCCTTGCTCATCAAGTAGACGACGACGATGCTGAACGCTTGCAGGAGAATGGATGGTAGTGGCAAAATCCCAAGAACCAATCGAACGAAATGTTTGGTTACTTGCAACAACTCGACGTTCTTGCCGATAGGCCAGAGGTGGAAGATTCTCTAAAAGCATATGATCAGCCACATGTTAAACGACCAGAGGTGATAAACCCACTGAGAATAGTGGCGATAAGGTAAGAAGGCTTCTTCGCTCCCTTGAAAAACTGCGTCTGAAGGGGTTGTTCTGCGTTTGGCCTAGTAGAAGGTAACCAGTGAATAAATAATGTTTTGGTAGCTTACAAACACACCGGTACGACGGGTCTTTGACCATAAAGCTTTCCACCATTTCTTGAAAAGCACGCGAGTATTTGTACGTTCCGCCATCTCTATTTAATGTAGGAGATGCTTCTTGGATTCTATGCTCCTGCAAGAATGAGAATACCAAAGAATGAAGTAGTATATACATGCGTTTTCAGCAATACCTTTTGAGGTGACTCGCGAGATCTAGGTGGCTGGCCCTGTGTGAGTTCAAGAGCGGTGATACCAAATCGTCATATATCTGCAGAGGAGTCATAGTTTTTTCCCCTGAATCAGCTCGGGCGCCATCCAACATGGCTAGTGAATCATATAGCGCAGATATAGCCAAAAATATCATGCACTTACTGTACCAACGAAAGATTTCCATTTTCCCATCTCTGGTCTTGAGTGTGCTGCGGTAGGTCCGACAAGCACGACACGTCTGGTGGAGCCGTAAGGACTGTGTACTGACGTACTGCCTTGATGTCGCGATGAATAAGCTATTGACGTGAAGATAGCTAAGACGATGAGTAAGTGGTCTGAAGGATGGCAATAAGTGGTGGAGGAGTACTTGAGGCCCAGGAGAGCCTGGTGAAGGATGCAGCGTATGACGTCTTCCTCCAAGCGTGCAGGCCAACCGTAGTGCATGATGTTGGCGGCACTACCTTTGTTCATGAGCCGCAATGCGATAAAGAGCTTGTGGCCATCCATCCATGAACCATGGACACGAAGAACGTTTGGATGCTTGGACAGGGACATCAGCGTCGTTTCCCGCTGCAAGGCGATAGCGAATGAGGAGGAAGTGAATCGAGATCCAGAACTTTGCGAAGAGTCTTGAGGCTTGTAAGATGCCGAGTAGACAATAGATGATGCCCCAAATCCTATTGGAGAGTCAGTGGTGTAGTCCTCAGAACGGTCACTACGAACGAAGTGAGCGAGGATCAAGGTAAACGGGACGATATGCCCACCTGTACATGCCCCAGCGGTCCTCAACGGCACCAATGAATTGTGTGGGCGCCATTTCCGGTCTCTTGGTTGTCGGCGACATTGCAAGAGAGAGGGCTGTCGATTATCGAGTCGTAGTAGAGAAGCAGCGAGCAGCACTGCTCTTACAGCTGACGCACGAGGTCACGACCGGCGACACGCGACTCTTTCGTCGCGTCCAATATTAAAAAAATTCAGTATTATGTCAAAATATTAAACAATTATGGTAGTAACCGTTTTCACCCCTCGGCATCGCCGCCACAGGGTGGCGTACTGGCAACGTCAGGTAAGCGCAGGCCTAGGATGATGACGGCCATATGCTACGTCTGCGATAAACCGGGCACGAGTACTGACTACAAAGATAACGCCCGATAGCATTTTTCTGCCAGCCAGCAGCGAGCTCAAAATACCTGGGATTGCAACCAGGATATCCTCTATAAAATGATACCAGCAGTACTAGCTGTACGGTAATTTATCTATTTTATTTTGCCGGAGCAGGACACTCCCGTGGCAGTGCTTCGGAAAATGCCGCCACCGCTCAACCTTCTCTGCCCATCTCACTGAACCTCTCGTCCCTTGTTTCTCCAGATTTCCCTCTGCATTTTGCAGATGGCTCCACAGCCGTCCCCCGCCAAATACTCATATGTCGTTACTTCGGTTGGCCCAAGAATCCTGCCCGTGGAGGAGCCCCCGTGCAAGGACGAGGAGAGTCCAGCAGGTTACAACGCAGGAGGATATCTACCCGTCGAGCTCAACGACACTTTCAAGAATAATAGATACAAGGTCGTAAGGAAACTTGGGTGCGTCGTTATTTACCCTTACTCCTCGCCAGCTTTTCTAATCTTGCGCAATCGGTAGCTGGGGTCATTTCTCGACTGTGTGGCTCGTCAAAGACGCCCAGTAAGTATCTGTGTTTTTTCTTGTTCGCCCTTTTGTCACCATTCTACTTTTCAGCCTTCAACGTCACTCTGCTCTCAAGGTTGTCAAGTCTGCTGGGCGATATGCGGAAACCGCGAGGGACGAGATTAAACTTCTTTCTCGGGTCACATCGTTTTCACCAACCCATCCAGGCCGCCAGCACATTGTCTCCTTTCTTGACTCCTTCTCCCACCAAGGACCAGAGGCCTGCCATATATGCATCGTATTCGAGCCTCTTGGTGAAAACCTCTTGGCGTTGATAGAACGTAACAAGAAGCACGGAGTATCGCGCGCGCTCGTCAAGGTCATTACCAGGCAGACTCTTCTCGGTCTCCAGTATCTCCATGATGAATGCGACTTGGTTCACACCGACATCAAACCGGAGAATATTCGTAAGTAACTTGACCTCCGAGTCACTGAAAACTGATTTATATCCCTGTAGTAATTTCCATTCCTGACATTGAAACCCACATCTCCACCGAGTTATCACAGTCGCCTTCACCGACTTCCCGTCGCGTCGGTGTCCCTCTACCGTCTAACGTCCGCTCAGCTCTTGTTATACGGAATCAACGGTCTACTCGTCGCTCCGTTCAAATATTTGACTCTCAGCCTCTCTCAAGTCCCTCAAGGAGCGCTGGCATCCATGGATTGAGGATGAGCTTTGGAGCACTAAACGGCTGTCAAGGTGGCAGTGGGAGCGGCCTCAATAGTACGCCGTCACCACTGGCACTGGCACAACGATCTGCTGATCTACGCAACGGCGCTGGTCTCACGAAGAGCGCTCCGAAAGTCCCTAGTGGGCTATCCATAACTGCATCACCGAACAATTCTCCTGATGATCCAGACGGAAGCAAATCGGCTGCCGGATCCTCCCAGAAGCCTAATCCCCCGCCTAATCCCCCATCTACATCGTCATCGTCATCATCAATAGCATCAACTTCTGCCTCGGGTTCGACTGATGCAGTGTCCTGCAGTATTATCAGTACACCCCCAACCTCCTTGTCGCATTCTATTGGTGCTGTTGCCCTTGGGCTGCTAGGACAGAAACATTGTGTCAAGGTCGACGTTTCTCCTGCAGAAAACAACGATGGTGAATGTCAGGACATCGTTAATGGTGTCCCTATCGCGGCATGCGAGCACAAGGATGCCACAAATGCTGCCGTCAGCCCCTTGTTGTCATGGAAAGATAAACTGGGTATGTATGGTTCATGGAAGGAGAAGGCGTCTTTCTCGCTCTCGTCGTCATACAAATCATCGATGTCAAGCACTGTCTTTTCACATACAGCATCTGGACTTGGCCATTCACGATCGAATTCAGGCTTGTCTGTCTCCGGATCCTGGAAAGATCCCGGGCTGTCATCTCCTGCTCCTGCTGTTGTTGTATCAACTTCAGTCATGGCGGACGGGAAAGAGGAACGAGGAGAGTATTTCCATCTGTCATCACCAAACAGCGCAAGTCGGGGAGCACTGAGCACCAAGTCCTGTAGTTCTTCCAACACGGCTACCGTTGCTCGACCTTCACCGACTGGCACGATACATGCCGACGAATCTAAACTATCTCTTGTCTCTTCTGATTCGGGAGCATCTTCGACTCACTTACCGTACCCTGCTGTCGTTTCTCATGACAGTGACTCCTCAAACTTACTTTGGCCTGTTGGCAACAAATCCTCTGGCCGCTCCCTTCTTTCCCAGACTGCTCCACGCCGCAGTAAAGTTGCCTCATCTTCCATACCGCCCCAATCTATTGACTTTCATCATGCGCCATCAATAAAGAAATCATCACCTCCACCTATCTCAATATCGTTCACAGACATCACGCCCCTGGCTTCTCCTGCTGTGCCTCCCCCAACACCCAGTTCTCCGACTTCTCTTTCTACTCAGATTCCTTCACCACCACCTCGAATAGAAACATCACAGGCTCCTCAGCCTATGGACATCCCTTCAGTACACCCAGCAGAGGCTTCTCCTCTTATGCTGCCATTATCAATAAAGATTGCGGATTTAGGAAATGCAACGCCGTCGAAGAAGCACTTTACGGAGGATATACAGACACGGCAATACAGAGCACCTGAGGCAATTCTTGGACGGAAAGATTGGGATGGTACTGCTGATATATGGAGCGTAGCTTGTGTGGTCAGTCTTCTTAACTTTTTTGACTACGCAAACTGACCGTAGATGCAGGTGTTTGAGCTTTTGACGGCTGAATATCTCTTTGATCCCCAGGGTCAAAGCGAGTTGTTTACCAAAGACGACGACCATATGGCTCAAATTATCGAGCTCCTGGGCGATTTTTCAATGGAGGTGAAGATGAGCGGCAAGTATAGTCGCCAGTTGTTTGATCATACAGGTATGTTTTTCAGGCCTTACAGGTTTCATTGCAAAAGATTAATGGCGGTATCAGGCGTATTACGATATATCAGGTCTTTGAAACCATGGCCATTAAAGCGTGTTATGGTGGAGAAATACCTTTACACAGATCGGGACGCCACGATCCTGTGTGATTTCCTTGAGCCTATGCTTGTCGTTGATATGAAGCAGCGTAGTCATGCCAGGGATATGATAGACCATCAGTGGTTAGATGTTGTAGAGGGTGATGAGGTTGTTGGATCTTGGTGAGGGTTGCAAGGGATTGCATGTCAGGTTTAGATTGGTTGCATTCATCGACGGTGTGCTTTGTCTTGTACTCTCTTCTGTTCCCCGCGTTCTCTTATTTCTTGATTGTTATATGTGCTACTTTTGGCGTTCGGATATATCATTACTCGTTGTCTTTTTACCCTTCTCTTATACCATACCATTTTAGACAATATTGCCCTTTACTGTTACTTTTTGTTTCTTGGACTACTTTATGTCTTTTTACTGGGTTGCGAGAGCTCCCTTAGTACGGCTTGTAACTACCATTCTTGCGCAGACTCGTATCATGCAGTCTCTAGATCTGCCTTATGATTTGGAGCCGGAGATTGATGAAAAGGCGGTAATGTTTAAACAATGTTTTAAGAAACTTTGGTGTCTCCTCCAGATCGTCATTCAAGTCATATCTGACTTAGGATCCAGGGAATAACAAGTCAATAATGAATCCCGTGCGTGTTTCCGCTCCCTCTCCTGCAAGCCATTTCCATCAGTAAGATCCTATACCATATCACGTCAAGAAAATGGCAGGCAGTGGTGCTTCAGTTCAGAAACGAGGATCGGTGGTGAGCATGTCTGATGGAAAGCTCTTGTTAAGGTTTGATTGCCTTTGGATTCAAAAGTCGAGGGTGCTTGCCAAGGTAGTACACTGTGATGAGAACACCTGCTCTGGAAGTCTGACCGGGACCCCAGGCCTTTAGGCAATGCAGACAAAAACTCCATCAGGATCAACAGTTGCAGCACCATGGGTAGTGATGTGGCCATGACTGAATTGGCAGAACATAATGGAAACAGTGCTCCCCACCTAGGTCTAACCAAATGGGCCACTCGACACAACCATTAAGGCTAATACCACCAATGACAACCATCAAAAAGAAAGATATCTTTTCACCACATGCACAAGCACCACCACTGCACTGCTACCAACACTGCCATCAAAGTTGCTTTTTGCTCCTGCGATAAGCTCCATCACGACTGCATCCACCCTGGGCTGGCTCTTCATCAACACACCCAACACCTTGGCTGCTCTATTCCTAACAACAATACTTGTGAGGTCACTTATGCCCTTGACAAACACCCTCTGCAGCTGAGGGTGGAACAGTTTCATGAACACAGGTATATGTTCCAACATTGATGTCAGTGCACTCAGAATGGCTGTCTTGACCACTTGTCAGTACATCATTGTTTGCATTGCCACTCAAATCAGCAAGCCAGTGAAAGAGACCACAAATGGTTTGATCACAGTGTCTTGCATATAATCCATGAGATGACCAATAGCATATGCTGCTTGTTCCCACTGCTCATTGCTACTGGTAGTCAGACCAGCAATAATGGCTGGAATGAGAGGCCCAACTGCTTTGGGGACACTAAAACCAGGAACAAAGTGACCCAGAGCACCTGTAGACTTGACACTCCACCACAAGGGGACCACAAATGATTCAAGTTTATCTTTGGGAATGGATCTGAGGAATATGTCAATGGTTTGTATGGCACTTGCATAAACATCCTTGTAATCATCTTCCACAGCAGAGATAAGCTGTCTGATTCAGTCTACATGATATAGCAAAGTATCCAGTTCAGTCTCTTCACAGAAGATGGAGAAGAATTTTTGTTATCTCAGGGTATCATGCTTTGACCTGAACAACATTAGAACTAACACATAATATACCTATAATATACTGACCATCCCAAGAGCACCATCATGAGAGTGTTCAACTCTTCAATATCATTGACCAACCTGAATGATGCATGAGTTGCCTCATCCACTGAAGATAAAAAGCTCTTCATCCCTCTGGTCTTTGATAACTTTGACAAAGGCACTGGTAATGACCATCAGCTGCTTGCTCAGCACATTTCCAACAACAGTGACCAGTGAAGTAAGAGTGTGAGCATTGAACATGGTCATAGGCATAGCCATCAATGTTGGAATTAGGATCAGAAACACAGTCATCACTTATACCTGTAATCAAATGTTAGATTGATATACAATGAGAAATAGAGACTGCTGACATCCATGACCTCCTTAAGTGCTTGCAATGACATTCCAGGACTCTCCAGGCTGCCAGAGGGCTTCCAGAAGCATAGGGATAGTTTCATTAATGGCCTTGAGTCCCATATGTTCTTGCAACATATCAAATGCTTTAGCCTCCACAGATTGAACATTAGCCTGATTGTCAACCAAGGACACACAAACAATAGATATGACATCATCTTCATGATCTTCTCATTGAGCATTGGTGGAATTTTCCCTGGGCAATGAATAAAATCAGTCTATCTCTTGAATTGAGAGTGGCTCACATGATTTCACTTAGAACCAAGCAGACACCTTCTCATGTCCACAAGTTGGCTGGCATCACCTTAACTTTGAGGAGAATAGCCATGATTTTGCCAATGATCTTTTCATCCAACTGGTGGCAGACAAAGACACCCACATACCTCTTGTTGCTCAAAAGAACAATTGTTTGACTTGATCAGTTTGGAAAGTATCTCTTGGACTACATAACAGCAATGAGTATACCTCTAAATTACCAAATAGATTCATCATACCTGTTCAGGAAGTATTGATCACCAATACTTTCTAGATTTGTATCAATGATTGACAAACAAAATAAAGCATAGCAAGAGCTCTCTGCAGTGCTTGCATCAATGACATTTTCCTTATCAAGATCACAAGTTTTTTCTGAGATACCAGAAACTTTGAATATAAGCTCTC